AGATAAACGTTTGATGCAAATTTTGTGAACTGAATCAATTTGATGAATAAACCAAGTGATGTTAGGTAGGTAGAATTCTGGTAGAGATGGGTTGGTTACCTGAATTTGAGTATTAGGACGGTAGGCTGAATAATGGAGGAGGATTTTAAGAGCAGCAGGAAAAGTAATGACCGATTGAGAAGCAATTTATTTGAACGATGGTTGTATACGTGTTCTTGTCGACAAGCGTCCCTGCCATAACTTACCGATCACCCAAGCGTTTATTAACGTCGATGTATCACCCAAATCTGCCGAAGGGTCCCCTTCGGCCACTAATCGCAAAATTCGACGAGTTACTTTTCCTTCAATTAAGAAATTGTGCACAAATTATAAACAAATTTTAACGAAATGTCAAAAATTTTCTTGTTCTATCATTCAAATAATGCGAAAGGCGCGAAAATGTGTGATTGAGGCATGCGTGCTGCTACCGTGCCAGCCTCGGTTTATGCATTTGTTTTGGAGTATGCACGATCGAATCAAGCTTTGCTTTTGATTCATTTTACTGAAGTGTTGAAAAAACCTGTTAGAATATGCACCCTGAATACGACCAAATCATTGAAAGGCCCCTAGTTTCAAATACAATTACAGATCCAGGTGCATCTAATAGTTTCAAACTTTGGCAATAAGTCCTACCATCTACCGTATACCCACTCACAACCACACCGCATTCACTCAACCAATCAACGTCCCTGTATTACAGTATGACACAATGATGCAAGCTCATTACTGAGGATACCGTAGGCAATGCACATGTAGGAGTAGATTGTTGTGAACGGTGATCTGATATATTGGATGGGTTTAGAGGGTTGTTTAATGCAACCTACCGGATCTTGTTTTTGGTAAAGAGGGTGCTTCTTGAATGGCATCTGGTACTGCGATAGGACCGATGGTTTGTCTAACGAGCTGCTTTAATCCTCTCACTCGTTCTTTGTCTAAGTGACATCCCTGAAATGTTGATCTCATTCGAATCAAATGAATATCACACATTTATAAGAATAACCGTTCGGAAATAATTATTCATTTCAGTAACAAATATTAATCTCAATCAAAACATTTGTTGTAATCAATAAGGTATGTTTGCAAATGGGTGTTACAACTAAAATTACGATCAGATACACTCGTGGATAAATAGAAATCACTCCAAACGTTGCTCATTGAAAAATGTAATTTTCATCAAAAATTAATGATGATCCGATATAACTGTTAAACAATGTTCGCAATGAGATTACTTGTGATGATGGGTGCTAACTGTGATAATGATGGCATCGGTAAGTACGAGTTATAAAGCTGAATGAACCTTTTTGAGAGTGACAAAAGCGTATGGATGACTTCCTTTGATATCGTGTGATGCTGCCACCACGGCAGCCTCAACGACATTCTTATCAGAGGCCAGCACGGATTCAATTTCAGCCGTTGATAGCAAATGTCCAGAAACGTTCATCAAATCATCAACGCGACCTGAATATTCGTACCTTTGAGATATTCGTTCTGGTGTTCTCGAACATGAGATATTCCACGAGAAAGTTCAATCAGAGCGTGAACCGAAAGGGATCGATCAAGATAACGAACCCGTAATCCACAAGTAACCGTCTTCATCTCGTCGTGCCCCGTCACCAGTGAAGAAGAAACCTGGGTACTGTTTGAAGTACGTCTCAAGGTAACGATTACGATCGTTATAAATATCTCGACAAATCCCTGGCCACGCCCGTTTGATACACTTCAAAATACGATCACTGTATCGTCGAACGGGT